CATTATGAGATTCATGATAAAATTGTTAAGACATGATAATACCAAAGAAGTCCCAAATAAGACACAGCAGGAAAGACCAGCCTCTGATGCATTTGGACATCAATTCTCTGTTGAAAGGACTGGAAGAGCTGAAAGATCCTGAACGTGAACAGCCTTCAAACAGCAAGTAATGCCTTATCTGACATGCCTTTATGTACGTGCCCTTGCTTCCTGGTGCAGACTCCAGTAAACAATCTGCAAGACAAATATTTCTGATATGCATGTGCTCTGCACCAGACGTGCAGCAGTTCTGCATGCGACCAAATGACTCACTCACCAGGACCTCTCCTTAAACACCAGTTTACACAATCTCTGTTACTGAGAGCCCCAGAAAACTGACTTCTCCACTTGGATTCATGCACAGCCACAGCTCAAACCCCTAAGGGCAAGACTCAGACCAGAATAATTCAGGGGGCAACAAGAAGCAAGGAAGCCACATGAAATAAATGTCAAGAGGGAGGTGCTGCTCCTGGCCCTGGATTCCCTCCTCCGTCCATGAAGGTGTGACAGCACTAGCTTGTGAAAGCGCACAGGTGTGCTAAACACCCTCCCCGCACTGTCCGTACCGATAACTGTCATTTGCCTTTCCCACGGGTGAGCGTGGGAGGGCAGGCTTATGAACATTCCACAGGTACATGGCACCCCGCACTTTAGACTCAGTATGCAGTGCCAGGGGAATCCATCCTCGGGACAATTTGAAGCCACGTGGCAAGAGGGCAAGTACAACATCTCCCACTCTGCTCTCCCGCCCCTTGCAGCACGCCGTCAGCGCTATCCTCTCCCAAGCCCTGCCTTGGACACGCACCCAGGGCAAATTTATGCAAGGCTGGGTTTGGTCTCCCAGACCTCTGCCTGAAGATTTGCAGTGGCAAAGCTACAAAGGACAAAAAAACCCACCCAACCCAAATAATTGTTTATCAGCACTGCAGTTTTACTGCTGTAATTCTGAAAAGGAGGAATTCCTCTGAACTATAATATACTTGGCTCCAACCACTGAATCAAACTTATTCCCAGACGTTCTCCTTTATTGTATTACTCAGCTTTTCCCGAGTCTTACAAAAACCAGGACTTCGGTGCCTTGCCACCCAGAAACCAAAGGAAGCTTCCACGAAACCAGCAAACACCTCCCATCTTCTCACCAATGTCATTAAAAAAGCAAAACAAACCAGGGAGGTTGTACAAGTCAGCCTATAAACCCAGGCGTGAGGAGAGCAATGTCAGTGGTAATGGGGCAAGAAAGGCAGGGTAATTATACCACACCAAAATTGCGATCGTGCTGCATTCCTTTCCGGTGAAGGCCAGCTAAGAATTAGATACACCTTTTTAAATCATCAAAGGGAGTGGCTGCAAGATACAAGGTGCTGGGATTAAGATGAAGTTCTGGGTTTGCCAGTTCTCAGCAATGGCTTTGGTGGCTGGGCTGGGCATGTCGTTAACTGTACCCAAATGGCATTCACACCATGCCACTTCTTTTTAATCTTTATACAATTCTCAGTATTTCAAGAGTCCCAGGCTCCCACTGAGCAAAGAGCTGTACGAACCCAGAAACAGAAGACAATACCCATCCACAAGTTTTTTTGTACTTGGTCAACCAGTCAAGTTCAGTAACTTGTACCTCAATATTATTTCTGTGGCGCACAAATATTTATCATGTTGCTCCAGCTACTACCACTACTGCATGCTCAGGCCGTCAAGCATGAAACCTCAAGAGCTTCCCTGTTGAGAAGGCTGGTACAAATACTGAACGGCGCCCATTTTGCGCAGACGATTTAACAAGGACTGCATGGGTGAGGGAACAGATTTGACTCAGACCTCTCCCTTTTTCAGAAGAACAAGTGCAGGAGCTTAGATGGCAGCACTCACCCTGCAGCCCTTTGCAGAGGGGACCCTGCCGGGAAGCTGGGTCTCGAAGAAGCTCCTCCGTGGGCAGGAGGCACAGTGCTGCCCAGAAACGCAACCCTGCTCCACAGACCGGTGGGCAGTGCAGAGGTAGGTAGTCCTCTTCTGCTGGAGAATGCCTCCCTAGGAGAAACCACGGGAGCAGCCATCACACAGGCAGGACAACAGCACACAGAGGCAAAGCTCCTGCTCTGTCTGCCTCACCTTGTTTGTGGTGCAAACAGGATTTTCAATATCCTCCTGGGCTGTTATGGGGCGAGAGGAGAACGTGGCACAGAAACAGAAAGGCACAGACCACCAGTGCTTTAAAAACATGGGAATGTCCTCCCCCATCATAACTTCATACTGCAGATTGTTCCAGTCCATTTTTCCATGGCCAACAAAACAAATGTTGCATTTGTCCTAGTTTTCGGAAAACACACCAAAAAAGACAAATACAAGGCAAAGCAGGTAGCCAAATGGCCAAGTCTTGCTATTTATTTCGAAATGAAAAGTTCAATTAAAACCAGCTACAAAACAAAGACATAATGATGACCTCTCTCCTCACAAGAATTCACGCTTTGGCACAAACAACTGACTGGCCTGATTTTATGTCTAATAAATTTAATCTTATCCAATAAAGTGGCTCCCTGTACAGCAGAGGAAAAGACGAGGTGTTCTGAAAAGAGCTCTTTGGGCATCGTGTAACACTGTACCATTAAATAAAAATAAAAAGCTTAGGGCTATTTCTGTTCTCCCTTAGGCCAACAGAAAAAAAAGCATAATGCAGGTCACATCAGCATCAGTGAGGTGAGCAGCACACAGGAGCTGACAAAACCACCAAGCTAACTCCAGTTCCTCTTTGTGGTGAACTTGTGAATGCACTCAACTCACCACTCGAAAGCCAACTGTTTCTAATGTGCAATGGTTTCATGTTACTGCACTGTTTATGAATCCAGTCTCCTTGCAGAATTTGAGGAAGGTGCTTTTCCACGTGGCGATGACTGACACCCAATGTTTTGGCATGAAGAAAACAGTCCAGTGGTTTTCCCATACCGAGACCTGGGCCACAGGGATGCCCGCTGCCTTTGTGTCCAGCTGTGCTGGTACAACTGAAGAAGCTGTGACTTCAATACGTGACTACCAACAGAGCTGTATGCATAAAAATAAGCTTCTATGAGCCATCTCCAGCTGGGCATCCAGAGATGAAAACATCCTCAAATTAGTGGGCACTACTGAAAAAGTAACCAAGCGTCTAAACGCTTGCACAATCTGTACTCACTCTCAGTAGCTCTTGATTTCTCAAATGGCGTCACCTACTGATTGCAAGTGTTTCCCAACGGATACACACCGTCATATTGAAACCCTAAATATTGCAGTGACTTAGCTTCTTCCACTCCACTTTACACAACATGAGTAGTTAATCCTCAGAGTGCCTCAAAGGAGGAAGGACAGCGACATTCACTAACCCAGCCCAACATGCAGGTAAGAGGCACAAAAAGCCAAGCAACCCATGCGAGGTCCTGCAGAAAGCAGGCCAAGCCCAGTCGCTGTGTCACGTTGCCAAAGGCATGTTCATGCCACCAAATCCCAGTAGTGAGGAAGCCAGAAGAAAGCCTTCCTCTTCCCCCCCCCCCCCCCCGGGACCCTAAACTCGTCAACAGGATCATTACAGCATGCTTGCCGGGACAAGTCACTCCTGCTGTGGTAAAGGCGAGGGATTCCTGGCATGGCATGGCACGGCACGGCAGCCGCGAGCAGGGTCAGAGCTTCACCGTGCCCTCAGCAGAGCAGGACACCCGCAGACACCACCACGTTGCATAACTACAGACACTGCATGTAAACAGGAGCTCCCGCTCCGTAACGAGCCATCGACAGCCGACCGACTTATGCAATTACCGTGTCTCATTAGGAGGTTGGCGTGGAGGATTTCAAAGGAGCTGCTGCCCGACTTGGCCGAGAGGCTGCAATTCGCCCAGCAGCCCGCTCAGCAGCCGCCCGCAGCGAGAGGCTGTGCCACCTTCCGGCGGGAGAGATCTGTCCCACCAAAGCAGCCGCTCGGGGACTCGACCCCCCGAGGGTCCACGCCGTGACACGGAGGGGAGTGGGGTAACGGTTCATTTTGGGGGGGCTGAGCCGCCTTTCCATCTCTGGTGAAGGGGAGTTACCCAAGACGCCCAGC